ATCACAGCAAGGCTGGCAGCCTTCAGTGGCTGGCAGCTCCACCACCTCTTGCTGTGGAGGGGAAGGAGGGAGGAAGCAGCTGCTGTGGGCCAGTGGTGGCAGCAGCAGCAGGAGGCTGAGTGCCCAACAGGAGCCGCCAACTATTGAAGCTCAGCCAGTGTGGTGTAATGGTTAAGAGCGGTAGTCTCATAATCTGGTGAACTGGGTTCGCATCTCCGCTCCTCCACATGCAGCTGCTGGGTGACCTTGGGCTAGTCACACTTCTATGAAGTCTCTCAGCCCCACTCACCTCACAGAGTGTTTGTTGTGGGGAAGGAAGGGAAAGGAGAATGTTAGCCACTTTGAGACTCCTTCGGGTAGTGATACAGTGGGATATCAAATCCAAACTCCTCCTCCTCCTCCTCCTCCTCCTCCTCTTCTTCTTCTTCTTCTTCTTCTTCTTCTTCTTCTTCTTCTTCTTCTTCTTCTTCTCTGCCCCCTAGCTCCCATCATTTTCTCAAGTTGCCACTTCTATGTCCTTGTTTGGATTTCCCACAGTCATCTACATAGTTGGCCACTGTGAAAACAGGATGCTGGACTAGATGAGCCTTTGGTGTGATCCACAAGGGATCTTCTTATGTTCCTAGCCTCCAGTCAAGGTTTCCTGGAATCCTGACTTTGTTCCAGGAATGGGTCTATCACAAATACCACGTGGGCTTTGTCACAGTTTTACACCTGGCCATCATGAGTATCAGTCACCGACTGCCTTATCATCCTTGAAATTGCATAAAGCACTACATCAGACTTGGTTTGTTTGGACACAGACTACCACAGGGGTGGGGAACCTGTGGCCCTCCAGCTATTGTTGGAATTGTGACTTCTATAATTCCTGACCACTGGCCATGCTGACTGAGGCTGATGGGAGCTGAAGCCTGGAGGGCCATAGGTCTAAAGAGACTGGAGCACAACAGATAAAAATGTTATTGCGTGAACCCATGTTTAGCTTCTTCTAACCCACTATGCAAATTAACATCTACATGTCCCTGTCCAACAAAGAGTAGCCTATTTATTCATGAAGAAATACAAGAATTGTATTTGCAGAATAAAATTGCTATAAGCTTGGTATTTGGGGCAGGAGGGAAGCTTGGCGTATCATCATGAACACATGACCTTTATCATTAATATATTTTTATAACATGCTCTATAATGAGATGAGAATGGCTGTGGCAGCAGCTAGTAATCATGGCATAAATATGAATAAAACATTTATATAAAAGCACATTAATTTAAGTGTTACCAATCAGCCTTTTTAAAGCTGTTTCATGAATAATAATGGTTTTTAGGCAGGAAAGTTTCTCACAACACGACCAAAACCTATTAAGAGAGTGATGTATGTAATACAAGTATAATAGAATTAAATGTACAAATAGTGATAAAGTTAGGGATGGATTTTGATGTCAAGTCTAACTTCCAGTTCCAATAATTCTAAAACAAAACATATTTGCAAGCTTGTCTTTGTTTCCTAAGGGTTTCCCTCCACCCCCCACAAAAAAGCCAAGAGAAACATTGAAATATGGAAAGCTGCTCTATTCACAGGGCTACCGCTCTTACACCTCAGCTGCTCAACTTCTAAAACTGGGGTGGGAGGACCTTCCACCCTCCAAATGTTACTGGACTACAACTCCCATCATCCATGGCCAATGGGGAACCTGGTCCCTGCCAGCGCCTAGTGAGATAATCACTTCACTCCTGTTTTCAGTCCCCACTTCCAAATGATGAAAACACAGTGGCACAGTTGGAGAAGCCATTTCAGCTCAGCCCTACTATCAAACACGGCAGCAACCTGCCTTGCTTACTGTTTATAGTGGCTCTGCCTTTCAAACATATGCCATCTGAGATATGCTTGATGAGTCTGTCCCTGATTATAATGATCTCTGCAGCTTCGGGGCATTGGATCAGCCTGGAAGTGATTTTCTTGGTTACATTCCAAGAATGCAATAATTGTGCAACTTTCTGAAACAGCAGCAGGTAAGGAATGAAATGGCTTAAGAGTGAGCTAATTAGCCCCAATTAGGATCTGATAGAGTAGCTTTGCACCCTTCCCGAACTTAAAGTATTTGTTTCCCTGCAGGTACTTAGATACAAAGTGTGTGTGTGTGTGTGTGTGTGAGAGAGAGAGAGAGAGAGAGAGAGAGAGAGAGAGACTGCTTTGTTGCCTCAAACAAACCTAAACTTAGTACAACATTAATCTGTGGAGAAGCCAGCACTAGGGGACCCCAAATGCATTAAGGGGATAATGTGGAGTAGATGAATTGACTTATGTTAGATGAACTGACTTGTCAGATGAAAGGGCTCCTGATAAATGCTGCAGCTGGAACATGGCAATTCCAAGTCCTTTGGAAACGAGGGATGACTCCCAAGGGCCTGGAGTCTAATCCAAAATGGATTCAAGGGTTGAACTCATAAAAAGGATATTGAGCATTAGGTTTGGGGAATAACTCTCTTGGAGAGCATGAAGAATCGTAGACCATAGTTTGAATGCAGAGATGATCTAGTTAAGCTTTCTGCTGATGCAATCAGTTACTTCCAGTTCTTCTTTTTTTATAGAAAAAAAGTGTCTATACCCACCATTAAGTTGCTGCAGTCAGTGCCACACTTCTAAAAAATTTTGGGGGGTGAAAAAGGTGCTGATACTGTGTACCCTGGAGTACCGCCAGAAGAAAGCACTGGTTACTTCACCCACAATAGTTGGTCATCCAGCCTCTGTTTAAAAATCACGAAAAAGTGTGCATTGGGGACTGATCAGTTGGGTCTAGGGTGACCCCATTCATTTCCATCTGCCCTCAACCAGCCCACACTGGCCTGCCTTCTTATGGGAAGCTCACAAGCAGAACTTGAGTGCAATAGCACTTTCTCCTCCCATGGTTTCCAGGGACTGGTATTCAGAAGCATACTGTCTCCATCAGTGGAGGTCAACCAATGATGATGATGATGATGATGGAGTTGTGGTGGTGGTAGAAAGTTACCCTTTTCACTTTCACTGTTAATGACTTTGAGATGGAAGAAAGAGGCCTCTCCTGTCAGAGCTTGGATGCCAGTGACCCAAATGTGTCTGCCACACAAAACTATTTGTGCCATTATGAAGCCGTCCACTGCAGCCAGAGAAACCATGATGTTCTGCCCGATCCAGCAACTACATATAGTTGCAGAGAGATGTGAAAAAGTGAAGAAGAAAAACCCTCTACAAAATAGGGCCTCCCTTCACATGCAGGGCCAGTATGATAAAGTCCAAGACACCTGGCCATCACACCACGAGTTTAAACGCGTACCTTAGAACACTTCCCAGAACCCTTTGCACTATACTGAAGATCTGTTGTGAGACATGTTTCCTCAGCTGAAAACCATGACAGTAGAAAATCTGAAAAACACTGAGATGAAGAGCACTCTTCCTTCCTTCCTTCTGAAAAATCCTTAAAGCATGGATCAGCAACTTAAACTGCCAATGGAAAACAGAGAGAAGGATGAAAAATTGCCTAAACACACACAGGCACAATCCCTCCCCCCCCAAAAAAAATCCAGTTTTAGCAGTAGCATTTTTGACCTATTCTTCCTGAAACGTACTGCAACAACAAATACTAGGGGCCAAATGCTGACCTAATTTGACACTTGGGTCCTCCAAATTAATCCCAGCCTCTCTTCGTTCTTCCTCCTCCCCTGTTTTGCTAGTCTACTTTATCATATTCTCTGCAACTTTGCCAATACGCATGCACACACACACTTCTCAACCTCTATAATCCTTCTTTATGCCTTGATCGCTGCCTGCCCTGACTATTAGTTCTCTATTTTCATGGTCTCCCTAATTCCCTGCCAGGAAACTTCAGGGGTCCTAAATGCAGCAGCCAGATTACACTCTGCCTCTAGGCAGTGGGTTCACATCACCTTTATCTTCAAAACACCTTCACTGGCTCTATCAAGCTCTGAGTCAAATTCAGATTTTCCATTCTGCTTCTAAAAACTCCACTCTGCCCCTTCATATCTGACATTCTTAGACCCACTTTCCACCCGGACTGTTCATGCTAATCACCCAGCGGCCTAACCAAACACCACAAATGTCTCTTCCGTTTTATGCCTCCCTGCACACAATAAACCACAAGAAGCTGCTCCTAGTACAATTCCTCACCAGTCTCTTACTGGCAGCAAATAAAATAAAATAAAGCCAGTCATTTGCCCCAGTGTCAGCCTGGCACAAGAATCCTCAATCCAAAATGCTACTTTTTGGAAACATCCCAACAAAGTAATTTAGCACACAAACTAAAAGCAAATTGTAATTCCAATCGTTCTTTTTAAAAATGAGTTGGTGGAACTTAAGAGGAAGGTATCTTTGCTATGTAGGGATGCGGGTGGCGCTGTGGTCTAAACCACAGAGCCTAGGGCTTGCCAATCAGAAGGTTGGCGGTTCGAATCCCCGCCACAGGGTGAGCTGTTGCTCAGTCCCTGTTCCTGCCAACCTAGCAGTTCGAAAGCACGTCAGAGTGCAAGTAGATAAATAGGTACCACTCTGGTGGGAAGGTAAACGGTGTTTCTGTGCGCTGCTCTGGTTCTCCAGAAGCGGCTTAGTCATGCTGCCCACTTGACCCGGAAGCTGTACGCCTGCTCCCTCGGCCAATAAAGCGAGATGAGCACCGCAACCCCAGAGTCGTCTGCAACTGGACCTAACGGTCAGGGGTCCCTTTACCTTTGCTATGTAGTGTTGTTGAGGCTTGCTAAACCCCTTTTTGCTTTGGTTTATTTGTTTGTTTAGGTAATCCCACCCATGTGATTTTATTACATTTCCAGCATGTTTGCATTTCTGTCTCATCGACATCTACTCTGGCACTCTGGCTTGGACATGTCCACAGAATGGAAGTTAGAAGGATCCCCAGGAATGTGATTTACAGGGAGCTTGTTTCAGGCACCAGGCCTGTTGGAAGACCAAGTTTGTGTTATACAGATGTTTGCAAATGTGACATGAAGGCTGGTGTGATGGGATGATGAGCTGCTTGTGCGTAAAATCGTATCCCCTCAGAGTTTGTTCAAGTCCACAAACCTCTGTCTGTGACGGAGCCCCTCAGACATGGCTACTCTAGTCACTAGCAGATTCCGACAGTGGTTGCTTTCGTAATCGCTTCCAACATAAAAGCTCCTTAACGGAAACACGTCTTCTGGAATCTCTGCGTGACAGTTTCCGGCGAGGAGTGGGTGTTCTTACAGGAGGTCCTGAAACCTCACCACTGTTTTCGCTGGAAGTGTCTCTGAGCCATCCCTCCAGCTCAGCTCCTCTAACCCTGCTGGTTCCCTCTTCAGCTGCTGCGTCTCTCCCAACCTGTGTGAGCCCTTTCACCTCCCTGCTGGTTCCCTCTTCAGCTGCTGCGTCTCTCCCAACCTGTGTGAGCCCTTTCACCTCCCTGCTGGTTCCCTCTTCAGCTGCTGCGTCTCTCCCAACCTGTGTGAGCCCTTTCACCTCCCTTCCGTCCGATGGCAGTTCCCTGACATCCACCTCCCCTCCAGGGCCCCCTTCACCCCCTCTCGCCCCTCCTCTACGGGCGGTGAGGAGGCAAAACCCGGAATGAAATTCCTTCATCTTCCTTTGTCTCGAACACTTCTCTCAACCTGTTGCGGTTCCTGGTCTCGAAGTACACCTCCTCCTCAGAGTCCATCCCCTTCCCCTTCCGAGTCCGGGAATCCTTCCAACTCCTCCCCTTCATCAGTGGTCCCAAAGTATTCCCTCCGGAACCTCTCCACAGGCTGAGGTTTCCTTGGGAACCTTTGATGGAACGTTTCTATCAATACCTCGTCATTGATATCTTCAGCCATTACCCAAGTGTTTTCTGACTCCGGTTCTCCTTCCCACGCTACCAAATACTCCACCTGATCCCCCTTCCACCTGGCGTCGAGGATTTCTGCCACATGGCTGCTGCATTCTCTTTCTTCTACGACCGGTCCCCGAGTGGCCAGCCCTTCTCGTCCCCCTTCGTACGGTGACAGTAACGACCTGTGAAATACTGGGTGCAGTTTCATGTGGTTGGGTAACCGGAGCCTGAAAGCCACTGGGTTGACCTGTTGAATGACCTCAAAGGGACCCAACCTCCTGGGTCTTAATTTCTTACAACCTCCTTTGAACGGCAACCCTTGGGTTGACAGCCACACCCTATCTCCCACCCTTATGGTTTCACCTTCCCTTCGGTTCTTGTCTGCCTGCCTCTTGTATTCTTCCTTCGCCCTTTCTAAGTTGAGTTGGAGCTGACGATGGATTGCTTCCATTTCTTCCACAAAATGCTCGGCTGCCGGGACGCTCCATCTCTCCCCATCTCCCCTGGGAAAGCCCTGGGATGACACCCATAATTAGCCAAGAAGGGGCTCATCCCTGTGGACACATTCTCGGCATTGTTGTAGGCAAATTCCGCCAGCGCCAACTTTTCTACCCAGTCATTCTCTCTGTCATTGACATAACACCTCAGGTATTGCTGGAGGACACCGTTTGCTCTTTCCGCCTGCCCGTTGGTTTCAGGGTGCCGGGCAGTCGAAAAATTGACCTCCACCTGCAGTAAGCTCATGAGCTTCCTCCAGAACCTGGAAGTAAATTGTTTTCCTCGGTCTGAGACCACCCTCAATGGCACCCCGTGCAACCTAAAAATGTTTTCTACAAATAACTTCGCTGTCTCTTCCGCCGTGACTGCATGCGAGCAAGCTACAAAGTGGCACATCTTTGTTAGTAGGTCTACCACCACCATGATGGCTGTTTTCCCTTTGGACTTCGGCAGATCAGTCATAAAATCTATCGACACTGCCTCCCAAGGTCGTTCTGGGGTTGGTAAGGGTTCTAATAGCCCCGCCGGCGCCCGCCTTCCCCTTTGGCTCGCTGGCATTGCTCGCACCCTCTTACATACTCACGTACATCTTCCCTCACCTTAGGCCACCAAAATTCCCTGGTGACCAACCACATGGTTTTGTGTTGTCCAAAATGCCCCGCCGTAGGGCTGTCGTGCAACTGCTTGAGTACCCTCCCCCTTAACTCTCCTTCAGGGATATACAGTGCCCCGTTGTAATACAAAGCTCCATTTCTTTCTTCGAAACCCCCTGGTTCCTCTCCATCACCCCTAAGACCTCTGAGCTTATTCTGGGCGTATTCATCATTCTCTGTTTCCTCTACCAGTTCTCTTTGTCCCACCAATGCCGCCCCACACACCCAGCGGTCCTCTGGAATGACATGTCTCTCTTCGGGTGCCCCTCCCCTCCAAATATTCAGGTTTGCGTGAGAGAGCGTCCGCCCTAATGTTCTCTGGGCCTGGCACGTAACTAATCTCAAAGTTAAATTTGGAGAACTCCTGGGCCCATCTCACTTGCCGTTGGTTGAGCACTCGTGCCGTCCTCCAATACTCTAGGTTCTTGTGGTCAGTGCACACTTGCACCTTATGTTGTGCGCCAATTAGCAGGTGCCTCCATCTCCGGAACGCCTCATGAATGGCTAGTAGTTCTCGGTCATACACCGTGTAGTTCCTCTCGGATTTGTTCAGCTTTCGCGAAAAAAAAAGCACACGGTCTCCACTCTGACCCCTTCTTGCCTGGCTGCAGAAGCACCGCCCCAATCGCTCTGTCTGATGCGTCAGTTTCCACTCTCATCGGTTTTGTAAATCCACATGCAGGAGTTGTTGTTCCGAGGCGAAGGCCCTTTTTAGTTCCTCAAATGCTCGCTCCGCCTCCTCAGTCCACACGAACTTCTTCTTACTGCTGAGACAGTCCGTAATGGGCGCCGTCAGGTGGGCAAAGTTTCGGATGAACTTACGATAGAAGTTCCCAAATCCTAGGAACCTCTGCACATCCTTCTTTGTTTTGGGTGTTTTCCATTCCAGCACCGCCTGGACCTTGCCGGGATCCATGGCTAATCCCTTGTCTGACAGGCGATACCCCAGGAATTCCACCTCCTTGGTATGAAACTGACACTTCTCCAGTTTCACCCACAGCTGGTTGGCTTGCAGCCTGCTCAACACTTCTCTGACGTCTCTCACATGCTGCTCCTCATTCTCAGAATACACCAACACGTCGTCTAAAAAGGCCACACAATTCTTGTAAAGCAAAGGCCCCAGGACGTGGTTCATAAACGATTGAAATGTTGCGGAGCCCGCTTGTAGGCCGAAGGGCATAACCAAATATTCAAATGCCCCTAAAGGGGTGAACATAGTGGTTTTCCATTCATCCCCCTTCCTTATTCGTACCAGGTTGTACGCCCCCCTTAGGTCCAGCTTTGTGAAAATCTTTCCCTTCCGCACCCTTGTCAAAATGTCGTCAATCCTGGGCATAGGGAAGGCTACTGGTTCTGACACTGCATTTAAGGCCCTGAAGTCACACACCAGACTCGGCTTGTTCGTGTTTTTCTTATCCACAAAAAACACTGGGCGTCCCCCAACCGCCCTGGACTCTCTGATGAACCCTCTCTTCAGGTTCTTGTCAATGAACTCTCTTAACTCCTGCATCTCTCTGTCTGACATGGCGTACAGCTTGCCTACAGGGAGCTGTGCTCCAGGGAGTAAGTTGATTTGACAGTCAAAGGGTCTATGCGGGGTAGTTGGTCAGCTTCCCTTTCGCTGAAGACGTCACGGAGATCTGCATATTGTCGTGGTACCTTCACGTTCTCTGTTACTTCAGTCCCTGCTAGGGTGGCTTGGACCCCTGCCAAACCCTTTCCCTCTTTGCAGTGTTCTAAGCAATGAGCTGAACCAAAAGAAACCACTCTCTGATGCCAGCCCACCAGCGGATCATGTAACGCTAGCCAGCTCATCCCCAATATAATGGGAGCTCCTCCCAAGGTGGCCACATTAAAAGCTATCAGTTCGGTGTGCCTTGCTACCTTCATTATCATTGGGACGGTCTGCAAGCTGACTTCTCCACCCAACAGCTCCCTGCCATCGATCGTGGTCACCTGCAGGGGGCTGCTTAAAGGGATTGTCTGTATCTGGTGTTCAGCTGCAAACTCTTTGCTCATGAAATTGCAGGAGCTGCCTGAGTCCAACAGCGCCTTTATCTTTAGAGGGTGTCCGTTTGGCAGCTCTAGCGCCACTTCTATCACTAGGGCGGGTTTAGGAGGTTCTGGCGTGGGCACTCTCACTGCTCTTTGGCCTGGCTGCTGTGCCCTGACAGTGGCAGCCAGGCGTTGGCTTTTACTTGCTCCGGTATTTTTCCTCTCTTCCATCCACAGCTCCTACCATCCCTTGCCATTCTTTCCTCTGGGGGCAGACTCTGGCAAAGTGACCTGGCTGTTGGCAGAGATAGCATTTCCGGGCGCCTTTTCCCTCCTTCTTTGCCCCCTCACTGGGCTTTGAAACTGCGCGCGCGCGCTGTTCCGATTTCCATCGGCTCTGCCGGTGGGAAAGTTGGCTCTGGAATGTCTGGAATGCGGAACTCCTTCCAACGTTCCCCTTTCCCTTCCCGCCTCTCCAATGCTCTCGCCTCCTGGCGCGCTCCTATGGCCAGCGCTGATTTGGTCAGCTGGTCCATAGACTCCGCCCTGGGCGCCCGGGAAAGTTCGTCTTTCACAGCCGAAGAAAGCCCTTCTTCAAAGAGCATTTGAATGGGTTCCGCCGATAAGTCCCACCCCAATCTGTGAACAAGCATGGTGAACTCAGTCCAGTACTCACGGACAGATCGGCTCCCCTGTTTGCAACCCATTAACTGTCTGCGCACCACTCCCTTTTCAATATCGCTGGAAAACATCAGATCCATGGCGCGAAAGAACTTCATCGTGTCCTTTAAGACGTCACTATTCGCTGCCATCAGGGGTCTAACCCAGTCTCTCGCCCCTTTTCAAGATGCTCAATCACGAAAGCCACTCGTGATTCCTCGTCAGGGAATTCATCAAACTGCAGATTGAGGGCATATTGCATTTCTGTCCGAAAGCCATGATAGTTTTGGGCTCCCCCAAACTTCTGCACCAATCCTGGTACCTTTCTGGCGAACTGGGTGGCTTTCCCCTTTTGTCTGCATCCTGAGCCCTCCTCTCCTCAAGCCTCGCCGTCTGCATCGCTAGCTGGACCTCCAACATCTGGTACCTTTCTTCCAGGCTTGGACCCGCTCCAGCTCCTGCTTCTCCGGTTCCGGCTGGGTTGCTCATGATGCCTTCTCCTGCACAAGCTGCTTTCAAAGACTGTCGGAATGCTGTGATGGGATGATGAGCTGCTTGTGCGTAAAATCGTATCCCCTCAGAGTTTGTTCAAGTCCACAAACCTCTGTCTGTGACGGAGCCCCTCAGACATGGCTACTCTAGTCACTAGCAGATTCCGACAGTGGTTGCTTTCGTAATCGCTTCCAACATAAAAGCTCCTTAACGGAAACACGTCTTCTGGAATCTCTGCGTGACAGTTTCCGGCGAGGAGTGGGTGTTCTTACAGGAGGTCCTGAAACCTCACCACTGTTTTCGCTGGAAGTGTCTCTGAGCCATCCCTCCAGCTCAGCTCCTCTCGCCCTGCTGGTTCCCTCTTCAGCTGCTGCGTCTCTCCCAACCTGTGTGAGCCCTTTCACCTCCCTGCTGGTTCCCTCTTCAGCTGCTGCGTCTCTCCCAACCTGTGTGAGCCCTTTCACCTCCCTGCTGGTTCCCTCTTCAGCTGCTGCGTCTCTCCCAACCTGTGTGAGCCCTTTCACCTCCCTTCCGTCCGATGGCAGTTCCCTGACAGCTGGCAACATTAACCTTGCCATGTGGGGATCCCTTGTTGATGACCACAGCACCTGGAAACAGTCAGGTCGTGTATCTACAGCAGTGACCAGAGGAGGAATGACTGCTGGGGGGAGTGCAGAAAGAAGAAATGCCTTGGTACACCTTCATCAGCACCACCGGTCACCTTCATCTGTCCCAGCTGCAACAAAACATGTCTCTCTTGTATCGGACTCTACAGTCATAGCAGGTGCTGTAACTCTCCGACAGTTTGACCTTATTCCAGACGGCGCGATGCCAACAATTTTCCAGAATAAATGAATAAAGATAGCATTTAGAAACATCGGGAATTGCCTTATACCAGGTCAGATGACTAGTCCATCTCAGCTTGCATTGTCTACTGCAGCCATCACCAACTTGGTGTCCTCCAGATGTTCTTGGACTACAACTTCCACCAGCAGGTTCTGGCTGGAGGCCAATGGGAATTGTATTCCAAGATCTGGAGCACACCAAGTTGGTGAAGGCTAGACTACTGTAACTTGCAGGAGCTCTCCAGTAGCTCTGCAGGAAAAGCTGTTTTACATCATTTGCCACTTGACTTTTAGTAGTTGAGATGTCAGGAATTGGACTTTGGACTTTCAGAGTGCAAAGAATACACTCTACTCCTGGACTGCAGTCCCTCCCTTGAATGAATGAAGATCTTCTTCAAAGCCAGAGGTATAGAACTGCAGTGATCACTAAAGCTTAATTCACATGTTACTTTTGGAAATGGTAGAGTCACTATGAGGTGAATGGGCTTGTTCACTTTGCATGCAGCAGATATGCTGTTTGAATGCACCCTCATGTGGCAAGAGCTCATATTTAATGTGATCAGAACAAACCATTGAGAGCAAACATTTCCCTGGTGTATTAAATGCCAGCTCTCACTGAACGTGGCATGTTCAATTGACCCATTTCATGAATCTGCATGAGAGTCTCTGGCAAGGTGGATGTCACCCTCTTTATATAAGGCATAGATAATCGGATGACCTTTTAACTAAAATTAATCCTTGGTTTTGCAGTAAAGAAATATGAATATTTTGCCTCTGAAAAATGATTTCTCTGTGTTGTGTGGGTTCCTGCATTTATGAGTTTAACTCTTATAGCTTGATTCCCCCCTTTTCTTCTTTTGGAAATGGACACTGGCTCATATTTAAATGACAGCTCTAGGGAAATAAGATGCTTTGTAAGGTGACCCTGTCATTTATTTTTTTTAATGATATTTATTAAGATTTCAAAAAGAAGAATTACATAAATAAAGAAAAGGAGAAAAAACAAAAAAAACAAAAAACAAAAGTAAAAATACAAGAAAAATGCAAAATAGAAAATACAGGAAAAAAAGAAAAAAAAACACTTAAAAATACATCAGTTTTTCCATGCCTTACATTCATTTCCTTACTTCCCTGACCTCCTCATACCTCCCTTTTTTGTATTCCAATTCAGTTAGTTAATTCAGCAATTTCTTTCCCTCTTTATTTTCTCTTACTCCTTTAACTTAATATACTATAACTTTGGATTTTCACCTGTTAACTGTCCATTTTTGCATACACCTTTATAGCATTGCTGCTTAAACCACTTAACTTCATTCTAACATCATTCTAACATTCCTTAATTTTACAATATTTCTGTAGATAGTCTTTAAATTTCTTCCAGTCTTCTTCCACCGACTCTTCTCCCTGGTCTCGGATTCTGCCAGTCATTTCGGCCAGTTCCATGTAGTCCATCACCTTCATCTGCCATTCTTCCAGAGTGGGTAGGTCTTGTGTCTTCCAATACTTTGCAATAAGTATTCTTGCTGCTGTTGTGGCATACATAAAAAAAGTTCTATCCTTCTTTAACACCATTTGGCCGACCATGCCCAGGAGAAAGGCCTCTGGTTTCTTCAAGAAGGTATATTTAAATACCCTTTTCATTTCATTATAAATCATCTCCCAGAAAGCCTTAATCCTTGGGCAATATGGCTCAATATGGAGGTCAAATGGCCGAAATATTGGGAAATTTTGGAACAAGATGGAGACAGATTGAAACTGCAGAGTTTTGAAAAACTAAAAAACAAAGTGCGAGACTGGCTTCATTATTATCAGATAATGGAGGCATACAATTTGGACAAGAAAATTGGCTTCCAGGTGGAAAAATCAAGATTAGAAACAGAATTGTTAGAACCCAAAACTAAGATTTTGTCAAAGATTTATAACTTGCTGTTGAAATGGAATACGGTGAAATCTGCTATGATCAAATGGGCACAAGATGTTGGACATAATATAATGATGGCTGACTGGGAACAGTTGTGGACCACAGGTATGAAGTTTACGGCATGTAATGCCCTAAGAGAGAATATTATGAAAATGATATACAGGTGGTACATAACCCCAGTCAAGCTTGCAAAAATCTACCATTTGCCCGATAACAAATGTTGGAAATGTAAAGAAACTGAAGGTACATTCTTTCACCTTTGGTGGACGTGCCCAAGGATTAAGGTTTTCTGGGAGATGATTTATAATGAATTAAAAAGGTATTTAAATATACCTTCTTGAAGAAACCA